ATGGAGCCAGAGCGAACCCCCCTGCCTGTCTTTACCCACCCAGGGCCGTGGCCCCCCCTCTCTCTCGCAGGCTGTCACCGAGGCTGCCGCTGCAGCCAGCGTCACGGCTCGCCTTGGATGCCAAGCACCCGGCTGCCGCTCCTGTCCCCCAGCGGCGTTCGCAGCGGTGCCTCCCCTGACCCGTGTCTTAATGCGAGCCGCGCTCTGCAGCGTGCCCTGGTGCAAAGGCAGGCAGACGTGACGCTCTCGCCCTGAAAACTAGCTGCTTTTTTTTTTTTTTTTTCCCCCCGAGTGCATGGAAATGTCATGTTGTAAACATCCCCCGGTGGTGCCGCCTGCCCGCCGGAGGCTGCCTGTCACTGCCCACCAAGGCCGGCTCCTCGCTGACTCCTTGGGCTCTCACGCCATGGTCCTCTGCCCATTCCCCAGTGACCCCTTGTCCTCAAACAACAAAATAAACCTTTACATCACCGAGTGAGAGTGACCTCAGTATTGTCTCAGCTCTGAGCTGATTTTTGCTGTAGCCATGTTTATGGTCAAACTGCTCCTTCCTTTTCAGGGCATGAGCAAAGGAGGGATCTATCACAAAACAAGGACTGAAAAAAAAATATAATGAGGTTTTCTTTCATTTTACAAGGGAGCTTGCTGTTCCCTCTGAATGTGCCAGGTCTCACAGTGTGGGCTGTTTCCCCCCCCGCCTGTGAGGTGGGGACCGGTGACCCAGGGCAGCAGTTCCTTGGCTGCAACCTTTGGCTGTTGAGTCTCAGTATTTTGGTCTGGCTTCCCCCAAAATCTCTCCTCCTGCCCCTTTTGGGCTCAGAGGAGGAACCCTCTGCCCGCTCGCCAGCCGCCCTCTCGCCAGAGCCGGTGTCACCATGAGCGCTCCTGACAGCTCTGCCTGAGCAGCCGCTGTCTCGGCTCTGCAGACTGCGCCGGGGGCTCCGGCACAACCACAGCCTGTCAGGACGTTTCATTTTTAAAACATATTTTCTGTCGGTGAGTATCAGTGGCAGCTGTCCCTGTTCAGCCCAGGGTCACCATCCCGCTGAGCTCCTGCATGCATGGCTTGGTGTTGCTCTCCGAACTCCTGGCATCCACCCAGCCCTTGAGCTCCCTTGGTTTCCTTAAGTTTTCTTGTTCGAAGGAAGCAAACTGGTGTGGGTGAGCCGTGAAATGGCACCTTCCCCTCCCTGCCTGCGGTTGGAGTCTGCTCTCATGAGACTCTGCCCTGCCCCAAAGGACGAGTCTTGTCATGTTGCTGGTTTGCAGGACACCCTGGCCACCTACAAACCAGCTGCAAACAAGTAAAGGCCCCTCTCAGGGCTGGGGGCGGCATCCCTGTGTCAGCAGTGGCATTGGGGACTGTCCCCACTGGGACAGAGACGGCCAGCTAAGCCAGGAGTGATGCTCTGGGAATCATAGACGAACCCAGAAGCACATTTGCAAGAGGGGAGTGGAGGGCAGGGGA